CGGGAACATCTTTTGTAGTTTTGTTATAACACATAGATCCAAATAATGTCATCATTAGATAAAATAAAGGTTTCTTGAGAACAACGTCAGTCATAAACCGTCACGGTGCGTCGTAATACATTTACATCAATACAGGACGTCCAAATGGCCGACAAGATAAACGTGATGGGATCGATTTCTGAAGTTGTTCGTGAAACTGTGGCGATAACAAGTGTTATTCATTACTGATCATTTGGCTGATCATTGAAATGTGATTATAAAAATGTGCCAAATAGATACTTAGGTAAATTTATAGATTACTGACTTCGCTGTAGAAAGTCATTTGTCGGTCAAGTATACAAAGTACTTTCGCTCCCGCTCAGTTCATCAGGACAAAAGTGTTACAATGTGACGTCATCATAATAACATGACGTCATACTTATTGCAGTATGACGTCATGACCAGAACGACATGTGGGCGGAAAATTCTTATACAACTGTGGTTGAGAAACCCATTTGAAATAACAGCAAACGTGTGAGATCAAATTATAGGTCCGTGATTGGCTACACCATGGTGATGTCATAAGGTCAGATTACGACGGACTATTTTCCCACAGAGTAATTTATTGAGAAGTTTCTTCTGCATTGGTAGTCGAATTCACCAATGTCTATGTCGAATCTGTATGGTTTCAGAGAATGATCTTTGACGTTATCGAGTTCGCATTGTCATCGTCGCCCTGAAACTCTTCAGATATAACTGAAAAGTTTTGTGTGGAGGGCCATTTTAGGTATGCGTAGTGAACAGTAAGCCTAATAACGTCACTCATGACCGCTGTGTTATGAATTAATGCGCCACTGCAATCATGAGAATAGACAAAATGGTGCAATGTTAGGGTGTGAAGGAAAGAGATTACTTCACTTGAGCCAGCCATTCGTGTAGTTAATCTCTGTTTACACCGTGTACATGAATCAATATTAGTGAGTGAGTCAGTTGGGTTTAACGCCGCTTTTAACAGTATTCCAGTTATATCACGGCGTGTCAGCTTAATGTGGGAGGAAAGCCCGAAGTGATGCAGGTCTCAGACGTTTACCACTTCGGTGAAACCCACGAGCACGGGTATGGTGCTGACAAACCTAGAAACATAATCGGTGCGAACCGGGATTCGAACCCACAATCATAGGTTTCTGGCCTGCCCGAGGGACGCACAACTGCACAGCGAATCGCGGCGCCTTAGACGACTGGGCCAGTCGTGCCCCCGGAATCAATATTAAGCTGCCATTCAGTAACCGATACGTTCATTAGGTGCAACATGATATCATGAAAACGTTATTAAGTTTATTATTGATTGAAACATGAATATCCTCTTTTTCTTTGAGCAAATGGATTTGTCACCTGTTAAGTTTGTAAATAGAAAAACGTTTCCATTTCAACAGCGATCAATGTGTCAAAACATTTGGATCTCTAATCTGTTGCTGACGTACAGTAAGGCGGTCTTTTTATTTAGTTTCGCAAATGTTATTGGCAACAATTATACTGTTGACAGTATTCATATACAACATTACGTCTCCCCTGGCTGCAGATCGCTCGCCTAACAATCTGGATTGTCAGATGCATCACTTCAGACCTCTGTGTGATTACACAGTCAATAATGTACATCATCTATGATAATGCAGTTGACATGAAAACACATTATCCATAAAATATGATGAATATGACATATTGCATATATTCCTTTGCTTCGTCATGCTATTGTTGTTTCATCGCTGTATATATGATTATTTGTGCTGTTTTGTCATGTTTGCATCGCTGTGTGTGTGATATCCCTGTGCTGTTATTGGTTTGTGTTGTCTCGTCATATCATATGACATAATAATTATGTTTTATCGTCATGTAATACGTACCCATAGGTCTATGTTTGTACCACAACGGCATGTTACCTGCATTTGTCCGTTGTCATTTGTCTGTGTTGTATTGTCATAGTATGCGTCATTTGTCTGTGTTGTATTGTCATATTATACGTCACTTGTATGTGTTGTATTGTCATATTATACGTTATTTGTCAGTGTTGTATTGTCATGCTGTACGTCATTTGCCAGTGTTGTATTGTCATGTTTACGCCATTTGTCTGTATTGTATTGTCATGTTATACGTCATTTGTCTGTGTTGTATTGTCATATTATACGTCATTTGTCTGTGTTGTATTGTCATATTATACGCCATTTGTCCGTGTTGTATTGTCATATTATGCGTCATTTGTCTGTGTTGTATTGTCATATCATACGTCATTTGTCTGTGCTGTATTGTCATATTATGCGTCATTTGTCTGTGTTGTATTGTCATGTTATACGTCATTTGTCTGTGCTGTATTGTCATGGTCTATGTTATTTGTCTGTGTTGTATTGTCATATTATGCGTCATTTGTCTGTGTTGTATTGTCATATTATACGTGATTTGTCTGTGTTGTATTGTCATGGTCTATGTTATTTGTCTGTGTTGTATTGTCATATTATGCGTCATTTGTCTGTGTTGTATTGTCATATTATACGTCACTTGTATGTGTTGTATTGTCATATTATACGTTATTTGTCAGTGTTGTATTGTCATGCTGTACGTCATTTGCCAGTGTTGTATTGTCATGTTTAACGCCATTTGTCTGTATTGTATTGTCATGTTATACGTCATTTGTCTGTGTTGTATTGTCATATTATACGTCATTTGTCTGTGCTGTATTGTCATATTATACGCCATTTGTCTGTGTTGTATTGTCATATTATGCGTCATTTGTCTGTGTTGTATTGTCATATTATACGCCATTTGTCTGTGCTGTATTGTCATATTATGCGTCATTTGTCTGTGTTGTATTGTCATATTATACGTCATTTGTCTGTGCTGTATTGACATATTATACGCCATTTGTCTGTGTTGTATTGTCATGTTATACATCATTTGTCTGTGTTGTATTGTCATATTATGCGTCATTTGTCTGTGTTGTATTGCCAAATTATACGCCATTTGTCTGTGCTGTATTGTCATATTATGCGTTATTTGTCTGTGTTGTATTGTCATATTTTACGCCATTTGTCTGTGTTGTATTGTCATGTTATACGTCATTTGTCTGTGCTGTATTGTCATATTATACGCCATTTGTCCGTGTTGTATTGTCATATTATGCATCATTTGTCTGTGTTGTATTGTCATATCATACGTCATTTGTCTGTGCTGTATTGTCATATTATGCGTCATTTGTCTGTGTTGTATTGTCATGTTATACGTCATTTGTCTGTGCTGTATTGTCATGGTCTATGTTATTTGTCTGTGCTGTATTGTTATATTATGCGTTATTTGTCTGTGTTGTATTGTCATATTATGCGTCATTTGTCTGTGCTGTATTGTCATATTATACGCCATTTGTCTGTGTTGTATTGTCATGGTCTATGTTATTTGTCTGTGTTGTATTGTCATATTATACGTCATTTGTCTGTGTTGTATTGTCATATTATACGTCTCTTGTATGTGTTGTATTGTCATATTATACGTTATTTGTTAGTGTTGTATTGTCATATTATACGCCATTTGTCTGTGTTGTATTGTCATATTATACGTCATTTGTCTGTGCTGTATTGTTATATTATGCGTTATTTGTCTGTGTTGTATTGTCATATTATGCGTCATTTGTCTGTGCTGTATTGTCATATTATACGCCATTTGTCTGTGTTGTATTGTCATGGTCTATGTTATTTGTCTGTGTTGTATTGTCATATTATGCGTCATTTGTCTGTGTTGTATTGTCATATTATACGTCACTTGTCTGTGTTGTATTGTCATATTATACGTTATTTGTCTGTGTTGTATTGTCATGCTGTACGTCATTTGCCAGTGTTGTATTGTCATGTGTACGTCATTTGCCAGTGTTGTATTGACATGTTTAACGCCATTTGTCTGTATTGTATTGTCATGTTATACGCCATTTGTCTGTGCTGTATTGTCATATTATACGCCATTTGTCTGTGTTGTATTATCATATTATGCGTCATTTGTCTGTGTTGTATTGTCATATTATACGTCATTTGTCTATGCTGTATTGTCATATTATACGTCATTTGTCTGTGTTGTATTGTCATGTTATACGTCATTTGTCTGTGCTGTATTGTCATAGTATGCGTTATTTGTCTGTGTTGTATTGTCATATTTTACGCCATTTGTCTGTGTTGTATTGTCATATTATGCGTCATTTGTTTATGTGTTGTACTGTTATATTATGCATCATTTGGTATATTAATAGCCAAATATTATACATAATAGATTTTGGTATATAAACACCCCAATAGTATATAGCGAATATAGAATTCTCCTATTTGTAACCTCCTTAATCTGGCATGACGACATAATCATATTTCATCCTGAAAGAGAAAGTCCACAGGCAAAGTATTGTCAGCCATGGACATAACCCCTGGTTGCACCTCCCTAAGCAAGCTTAATTAACACAGGATTACCTTAGAATTAAGGCAAATATAATTCATGTCTGGGTCGAAGGGTACATTTAATACCAATGTGTAATAACTTTTGTTTGACAGTTAACGTCATTTTCTCGTTTTGGATCGCACACATTTCTTTCTTCTTCACAAAAGACCGCCTCCCCGGTCTTGTGGTAGAGCGTCCGCCCGGAGAGCGGAAGGTCCGGGGTTCGATCCCCAGCCGCGTCATACCAAAAGACGTTAAAAGATGGTACTTGTTGTTACCCTGTCTGGCGCTCGGCATTAAGGGGCTAAAACAAGGACTGGTCAGCTCGGAGTCAGTATACTGTGTCTGAGTGGGGTATTCATGTTAAACTGCGGCATGGTATCTCAGTGAGCTAGCACTATAAATCGGCATCAGTCCGGACTAGTACAAGCAGCCACACAAACACACACACGTACATGCACGTCGCTATATAAGTGCAATAATCTTGGACGCGACGTTAAACCCCATTTCACCTCACCTCACCTTGTACACAAAGTTACGTAAGAGATGAAAACACTTACCTATACCCATACCAACGATGATCCTGCCCACCAACAGCACTTCCTTCCCCCCGGCCGCGCCCATCACAACGGCACCAATGGAGAACACAAAACTCGCCAACATAATGGTCTTCTTGCGGCCCAGAAAGTCCGTGGAAATTCCGGCCACGATGGAGAAGAACGCTGCAGCGGCGATGGTTGCACTGACGATGGCTTCTGTCCATACCGTTGTTAAGCTAAAGTATGGGTTAATCAACAGCATAGATCCGGATACTATCCCTGTGTCGTACCCGAATAGGAACCCACCTAGGGTGGCGAAACACGACAAGAAGTACACATAGAACCTGCTTCCCTGCCCCTCCCTTGGGGCATCGTCTTTCACCATCTCTGCCATGGAGTCCACGCGGCCGTCAGAGATGCTGGTCACAGAACCAGCTTTTGAGTCGCTCATCGTGGATTACCCGCGGTGCCAACAGCTGATCGGAAAATCAATCGATGAAGATGGAGAATATAGTCTTCAGCGCAGAGCTTCTAAGACAGTAACGCCGTGCTCTGCCTTATATCCTAAAGATAAGAGCGTTATTATAATAATAGAATGTAATAACAATGGCAGAATGGTTTTTTTTAGATATGAGGCTTTAAAGCTGTGGACGGTTCTGGCTCCGTTCCCACCCCAATGACTCTTTCTTCTACTGTGCGGGTCGATCTTGACAGCGCCAGATAACGGGTATGGGTTGGACGGAATACCATGGTTGCAGGGTTGGTTGTTTGAGGGTAGGAACGCCTTTATACCTATATAGATATATCAGTGTTGACTGGGCCATCTTTGAGGGACATTTCGTTCAAGAATATTTAAATGTCAGTACACTGAACAAAATTCCGGTTGTTTGCATTGAGATGAGGTATGTCTGCATCGACAGATAGCATTTAGTTTAGAAAATGTAAGTGTTCTTATTGAATTGGTAACCTAAGACCCTAGTGGTTAAAGTGTTCTCTCGTCGCGTCGAATGCCCGGTTTCTCCCGGCCTCTACCCATTTATCACTCGGCTAGAACAAGGCCATGCCGCAAAGGCACACAGTACCCCGAATTACAAGATTGCAACAGCTAAAAGTGTTGATGAATGGTTTTTTTTATTTACTCAAACTAATAAATGTCTTCCAATGCTTGGTACTTCGCGTATTGTATAGCGATTACCCCATGCTTGGTGCGCTAAGTCGGTCTGCACTGGAAAGCTCAACGTGTCAGATCAGCAGTGCCAGTATGACAACAGCTAGTTCACAGCCTGAGTCTGTTCCAGACCTAGCAGGGACACTGCCACACTGTTCATCGCCCTCAGAGCACAATAAACGATTTTCAGCCAATCGTATACAAACAACGCTTTAATATGGTCCTGTGTTTGTCACTGGTTGCTTCCCATGTGAAACAGGCTGTTGGTGAATCTTGTTTGATGAGTCATGTTATCCTTTGTTTAGGTTTTGCTACAACGACACTTTTATCATATATTATTAAGTATATACGATGTAATACCAGCGTCCATTTGTTATTCCAGAGAATACAGTTGGTCCATTGCCCTTAGTACTCGTAATGCAGTGCCAAGATCCACTGATTCGCCATGATTCCCTTAGGACAACATCTTTGGGTTTCACAACTGTGCCTAGTTTAGGTCTACGTGTTGTAGTGAGTGAGTATGGTTTTACGCCGCTTTTAGCAATATTCCAGCAATATCACGGCGGGGGACACCAGAAATGGGCTTCACACATTGTACCCATGTCGGGAATCGAACCCGGGTCTTCGGCGTGAGGAGCGAACGCTTTAACCACTAGGCTACCCGACCGCCCCCTACGTGTTGTAGCTAGTGCCTGTTACTTTGTATTAGTATGTATTATAATTTTATTTCTGATCACTGTTAGTGGCAGCAAGTCAAACACTCATAGAATGTCGTTAGCTGTTGTGGCAAGTAATTTATTTAATGACTTGCCCGCGCCAGCTCGTAAAATAGTGTGACTTCCCTTAGCTGTGTATAGTCCAAACTCTACACCAGAGTTCCCAAACTCCCTCCGGTATAGTGAGCTCTGCTGCCGAGGAGATCATTGCTGCCACAAACAATCATCAGGAATCAATTTCCAATATATACTGCCACATAACGCTGTCCTTTGGGAATACTAGAGGTGGTGAGGTAGCCTAGTGGTTGAAGTGTTTGCACGTCACACCGAAGCCCCTTTCTGGTGTCCCCACCGTGATATTGCTGGAATGGTGCTAAAAGCGGCGTAAAACAAACTCACTCACTCTCTCTGGGAAAACTGTGACTCAGTTTCTGTATCTGTTCGTTAAGACATCGATACATTTCAGTTAGTACATAAGTAAGGATGTTTTACAATTACTTTAATCAAACTCGATAGGTTCTCCGCCACCAGGAAGAAGTCATCGGTATTTGATCTTGGGGGATATCTCACCTTAAAGTGCTGTCTCCACTGTATCCAACTGCTGGTTAGGACCGTACACCCCAACACTTCTCAGATGTGTTCTCCACAGTGACGGAGATACCAGATCACATATCTAATCTGGCTCTATCTATATCGTAGTGTCATTGTGTGGCGAGTATAGTATAGAGTCACACTGAATGCCATTGTGTTGAGAGTATAGTATAGTCACACTGAATGTCATTGTGTTGAGAGCATAATTATAGAGTCACACTGAATGTCATTGTGTTGATAATATAGTATAGAGTCAAACTGAATGTCATTGTGTTGAGAGTATTGTATTGAGTCACACTGAATGTCATTGTGTGAAGTGTATAGTATAGAGTCACACTGAATCTCATTGTGTGTGAAGATTGTAGTATAGAGTCACACTGAATGTCATTCTGTTGATAGTATGGTATAGAGTCACACTGAATGTAATTGTGTTGATAGTATAGTATAGAGTCACACTGATTGTCATTGTGTTGATAGTATAGTATAGAGTCACACTGAATGTCATTGTGTTGAGAGTATAGTATAGAGTCACACTGAATGTCATTGTGTTGAGAGTATAGTATAGAGTCACACTGAATGTCATTGCGTTGAGAGTATAGTATAGTCACACTGAATGGCGTTGTGTTGAGAGTATAATTATAGAGTCACACTGAATGTCATTGTGTTGAAAGTATAGTATAGAGTCACACTGAATGTCATTGTGTTGAGAGCATAGTATAGAGTCACACTGAATGTCATTGTGTTGAGAGTATAGTATAGAGTCAAACTGAATGTCATTGTGTTGAGAGTATAATTATAGAGTCACACTGATTGTCATTGTGTTGAGAGTATAGTATAGAGTCACACTGAATGTCATTGTGTTGAGAGCATAGTATAGAGTCACACTGAATGTCATTGTGTTGAGAGTATAGTATAGAGTCACACTGAATGTCATTGTGTTGAGAGTATAGTATAGTCACACTGAATGGCGTTGTGTTGAGAGTATAATTATAGAGTCACACTGATTGTCATTGTGTTGAGAGTATAGTATAGAGTCACACTGAATGTCATTGTGTTGAGAGCATAGTATAGAGTCACACTGAATGTCATTGTGTTGAGAGTATAGTATAGAGTCAAACTGAATGTCATTGTGTTGAGAGTATAATTATAGAGTCACACTGATTGTCATTGTGTTGAGAGTATAGTATAGAGTCACACTGAATGTCATTGTGTTGAGAGTATAGTATAGAGTCACACAGAATGTCATTGTGTTGAGAGTATAGTATAGAGTCACACTGAATGTCATTGAGTTGAGAGTATAGTATAGAGTCAAACTGAATGTCATTGTGTTGAGAGTATAGTATAGAGTCACACTGAATGTCATTCTGTTGATAGTATAGTATAGAGTCACACTGAATGTCATTGTGTTGAGAGTATAGTATAGAGTCACACTGAATGTCATTGTGCTGAAAAGACAGTACTGAGTCACACTGAATGTCATTGTGTTGAGATGACAGTACTGAGTCACACTGAATGTCATTGTGTTGAGAGTACAGTATAGGGTCACACTGAATGTCATTGTGTTGAGAGTATGGTACAGGGTCACACTGAATGTCACTGTGTTGAGAGTATAGTATAGAGTCACACTGAATGTCATTGTGTTGAGAGTACAGTATAGAGTCACACTGAATGTCATTGTGTTGAGAGTATGGTACAGGGTCACACTGAATGTCACTGTGTTGAGAGTACAGTATAGGGTCACACTGAATGTCATTGTGTTGAGAGTATAGTATAGAGTCACACTGAATGTCATTGTGTTGAGAGTATTGTACAGGGTCACACTGAATGTCATTGTGTTGAGATGACAGTACTGAGTCACACTGATTGTCATTGTGTTGAGAGTATAGTATAGAGTCACACTGAATGTCATTGTGTTGAGAGTATAGTATAGAGTCACACTGAATGTCATTGAGTTGAGAGTATAGTATAGAGTCAAACTGAAAGTCATTGTGTTGAGAGTATAGTATAGAGTCACACTGAATGTCATTGAGTTGAGAGTATAGTATAGTCACACTGAATGTCATTGTGTTGAGAGTACAGTACAGGGTCACACTGAATGTCACTGTGTTGAGAGTACAGTATAGGGTCACACTGAATGTCATTGTGTTGAGAGTATAGTATAGTCACACTGAATGGCGTTGTGTTGAGAGTATAGTATAGAGTCAAACTGAATGTCATTGTGTTGAGATGACAGTACTGAGTCACACTGAGTGTCATTGTGTTGAGAGTATAGTATAGAGTCAAACTGAATGTCATTGTGTTGAGAGTATAGTATAGAGTCACACTGAATGTCATTGAGTTGAGAGTATAGTATAGAGTCAAACTGAATGTCATTGTGTTGAGAGTATAGTATAGAGTCACACTGAATGTCATTGAGTTGAGAGTATAGTATAGTCACACTGAATGTCATTGTGTTGAGAGTACAGTACAGGGTCACACTGAATGTCACTGTGTTGAGAGTACAGTATAGGGTCACACTGAATGTCATTGTGTTGAGAGTATAGTATAGTCACACTGAATGGCGTTGTGTTGAGAGTATAGTATAGAGTCACACTGAATGTCATTGAGTTGAGAGTATAGTATAGAGTCAAACTGAATGTCATTGTGTTGAGAGTATAGTATAGAGTCAAACTGAATGTCATTGTGTTGAGATGACAGTACTGAGTCACACTGAATGTCATTGTGTTGAGATGACAGTACTGAGTCACACTGAATGTCACTGTGTTGAGAGTATAGTATAGAGTCACACTGAATGTCATTGAGTTGAGAGTATAGTATAGAGTCAAACTGAATGTCATTGTGTTGAGATGACAGTACTGAGTCACACTGAATGTCATTGTGTTGAGATGACAGTACTGAGTCACACTGAATGTCACTGTGTTGAGAGTATAGTATAGAGTCACACTGAATGTCATTGTGTTGAGAGTATAGTATAGTCACACTGAATGGCGTTGTGTTGAGAGTATAGTATAGAGTCACACTGAATGTCATTGAGTTGAGAGTATAGTATAGTCACACTGAATGGCGTTGTGTTGAGAGTATAGTATAGAGTCACACTGAATGTCATTGAGTTGAGAGTATAGTATAGAGTCAAACTGAATGTCATTGTGTTGAGATGACAGTACTGAGTCACACTGAATGTCATTGTGTTGAGAGTATAGTATAGAGTCACACTGAATGTCATTGTGT